AGTCCTTCCATCCCCTTATTTTAAATCTATTTGTTTAATTATATTTAGGGTAGATCTCTTGTAAACAACATATTGTTGAGTCCTTTTATTTTTTAATCTACTGATAGTCTTTGTCTTTTAATTGATGTATTTAGGGCCATTTACCTTTAAAATGATTGTTGATAGATTTAGGTTAATGTCTACAATGTGTTTTCTGTTCACCACATTTGTCTGTTTGCTTTTCTTCCCCTCCTTTTCTGTCTTCTCTGGTTAAATAAGAATTTGATTGCATTTTCTTACCTTTCTTATCATGTCAGTTATACTTCTTTTAAAATATTTTATCTCATTACCCTAGAGATGTAATATAGACTTACAATGAATCTAAACCCATTTTAAAAATTACACTCTACCACTTCAAGGGCAGGGTAGGTACCTTACAACAGAGTGTTCCCAATGCCTCTCTCCTCATTCTTATAACATCTGTTGTTCATCTTATGCTTGTACTATAGTCCCCCAATACACTGTTTCTCTTATTACTTTAAACAGATAATTACCTATTAGATCAATTAAGAATAAGAAATACAAACTGGGCGTGGTGGTGCACACCTGTAATCCCAGTGGCTCAGGAGGTGGAGACAGGAGGATTTCGAGTTCAAAGCCAGTCTCAGCAATTTATCAAGGCCCTAAGCAACTCAGTGAGACCCTGTCTCTTAATAAAATATATTTTTAAAAGGCTGAGAATGTGGCTCAAATGTTAAGTGCCCCTGGTTCAATCCCCAGTACCACAAACTAAATAATAAATAAATAAATAAGAAGAAATACGTGTTATCTTAATTTATTCCTTTTCTGACATGCTTCCTTTTGAGTAGATCTGAGTTTCTGACCTATGATATTTTCCTTCTCATTAAAGAACTCCTTAGGTTTCTTGCAGTGCAACTCTGCTAGCAATAAACCTCTTTTGTTTGCTTAAGTTTTTTTCTTTTTCATGTTTTATTGAGATAAAATTTGTATAACAAGCTGGGCTTAGTGGCACATGCCTGTAATCCTAGCAGCTCAGGATGCTGAGGCAGGAGGATTGGGAGTTCAAAGCCAGCCTCAGCAGCTTAGTGARACCCTAAACAACTTAGCAAGACTGTCTCAAAATTTTAAAAATATAAAAAGGGATGTGGGTATGGCTCAGTGGTTAAGCACCTCTGGTTCAATCACCGGTACCTAAAATTTTTTTAATTGTATAAATTTCACCATTTAAACCTTTTTAAAGTGTATGGCTTATTGACCTTACTACATATGCTCTTAAAAGATGCTTTGGCTGGATATAGAATTCTAGGTTGATGAGGTTTTATTCTTTCAACCCTTAAAACATTTCACTCCCAGGCCTGGAGGTGTCACTGGTAGAGCATTTGCCTGGCATGTGTGAAGCCCTGGGCTCCATCCCAGTACAAGAGGAAAAAAAAATATTTTTCATTTTCCTTTCTTCTTGTTTGTATTGGATCTGACAAGTAGGCTGTAATTCTTACCCATTTTCTCCATACATAAGCTGGAGGCATTTTCTAAGGCTTCTTTCAATATTTTTTGGTTTTGATCTTAGCTTTGACTAGCTGTGTCTAGGTGTCATTTTTCATTTGTTTGTTTTGTTCTGTGTTTTGTTTTGTGTATTTATCCTAGTTGGTGTTCTCTATGCTTCTTAGACTGTAATTCGGTGTCTCATTAAACTAATTGTCTCATGAGACAATTTATGACTACTTGAACAGTTCCTTCTCCTCTGGTGTTCCAGTTGTGCCATTCTTTTGAAATTCTTCCACAATTCTCGTATGTTCTGTTCCCTCTCTTTCCATTCTTTTTCCTCTTTGCATTTCAGTTTTGATATTGCTATTACCAGATCTTCAAGATCACTGATTCTTTCCTTAGTGTGTCCGGTCTACTGATGAGCCCATCGCAGGCTAGAGTCCTTGACATATTAGTCACAGTCATTTAAAATTTCCTGATAATTACAAAATGTGTATCCTCTATGGATTTAGTTCTGAAGTATACTTTGTCTCTTTAGTCTGTTTTTTTCCTTGCCTCTTAGGATGCCTTGTTACATGACTCACATGTAATTCTCGGGTAAAGAAACTGACTTAGACCTCTAGTGTGAGGTTCAATGTTAATCTGTTTAGGAGTTGGATGAAGATTAATGTCTGTCTACTGTAACTGCCAGAAGTTTTTAATTCCTCTAACGTCCTTGGTTTTGTCTCTGTTGTCTTTGGGTTTCCCTCAGAACTTCTTCAATCCAGTCTGTCTTTGAAGCTCCTTCAGAGGCTATCCACCACTATTCCACTGCAGATTTGTCCTAACCCTTGGTGAGACAAGCTCTGATAGATTTTTATCTTCTGGGGGGAGGGGGTCCTGGAGGACAGGCTTCTGGTATGGAGACTGTGCTGGGCTCACTTTCTTATTTTTAAGATAAAACCTGCTATGTTGTCCAGGCTGACCCTGAAGTCCTAGACTCAAGTGATCCCCGACCTCAGCCTTCCAAGTAGCTGGGACTACAGGCACACCCCACCCCATCCAGGTTAGGGCATGTTTTTAAGTTTAATTTTCCCTTCCCTGAGACAAGAAGGAATTTTTCTTGGCTCTTCACCATGAGCCCACACTTAGCCTCCACCCATTTGTCAAAGTTACTGTTTAAGTATTACTACTGGTTTGTGGCTCCAGAAACTTCTCTAGATAAGCTGCTTGTGGCTGAGTGAATTTGCTTGTCTCTCTAAATTTCAGGGTAGCAGTTTGCCCTGTGAACTCATTTCTTGGATGGATCCAAAATAAGTGATCACTTTTCAGTCTGTTGAGCTGTTTTCTTGTTGTAATCATGGAAAAGATGACTTCCAAGTTCTGTACCTGTTGATGCTGGAACCAGAAATGGCTTTTCCCTTTGTTATTGTTGCTTTAAAAAAAAAAAATGCTCCCAAGGAATGAGGGCAGAGATGGCAAAAAGGCTGTGTGCATGTATCCATTTGGCTAAACAACCTGCAGGGGAGTGGACCCTCTGCAAAGGAAGACCCAGTGGTGCAGCTGATCCTGGCCAGCCAACAGCTGAGGAACCAACAGCTCTACAGACTCTGGGGGCTGAGAAGACCTCCCCCACCACCCCCTGCTTCACTGCCTCCTTCTGGCTTCATCATGTCTCATTTTGGCCAGGCTCGTTTCTTAGACCCCATCCTACAGTTCACACTAGGTTCTGTCACGGAAGGATCTTTCTACAACATGGATCTAACCCTTGTCCTCAAACTCTCCCATTTGAAAACCCTGAGCCCCTTGAATTAAGTATAAGTTGCCTAATGTGGTGTTCACAGATCCTCAGGATTCACCCTAACTTTCCCTCTGCTGCCCACCTCCCCAACTCCTGCACAGTACTAGGGTGCCAGGAACACACTAAACTCTTTGCAAGCTCCTAAACCTAACAAGCTCTCTCTAGCCTCTGCCTTCCATATGCAAATTCCTCTGGAAATCTTTCCTGTTCTGACTGGCTCTTATCCACCAGCAAGCCTTCCCTGAGTAGTCTGTACAACTCTCAGTCATGGTGCCACCTTTGGGTCCCACTGAAGTGCCATCAGGACTCTTCAGCTATGAGGGCCCTTCCCATCAATAAAATCCACATCTTCCTTAAGGTAGAGGAGTCATGGGGCAGATACTCTGAATCTCCCTGTGGTCTGCTTTCTTCCCAGAGGTGAAGCCCTGCATGTTGGACCTCTCAGGCTGAGGAGGGTCTGCAGGGGAAGAAACCCCTGTGCATGGGCTCCTACTGTGCAGGGAAAAGGGTGAAATCTCTTTCTGGAGGCAGATTCTAGAGATGTCCACAAGTTCACCACTTATCAGCTCTGTGACCCTAGGCAAGGTACTTTTCTGTCCTTATCATCTATTTTTTTTTGTCCTTATCATCTATAAAACAGGTTAATAAATAGGACCTAGCTTAGAGGCCTCAGTGAAATAATGCAATGTATTTTGTATGTGATGAATGTTCAAAAAGTAATAGTATTATTATAATATCCATGTAGGCCAACTATGTCCTACTGCATTGCACCCACACCCCAGCCAGCAAGGCAGGGTCACTAGCTGATTCCACTCCAGAAAACAGGCCAACAAGGTGCTGAGGAAGACAGAGCCATCTCTCCTTGGTTCACTATAACTCGGCCCTCTCCCTATCTGGAGAGTGCTGGAGGCCTAGGATGGGAAGTGAGGGAAGGCTGCAGATTTGGGCCACATCAGACCTGGCCTGGGGGGCTAATGGAAGCAGCCACAGGGGGAGTGTAGAGGTGCAGGATTGGAAGTATGTACTTTTTTTTTTTTTTGGTACCAAGGATTGAACCCAGGGACATTTAACCACTGAGCCACATCCTCAGCCCTTTTTAAATATTTTATTTAGAGACAGTGTCTTGCTAAGTTGCTAGGGCCTCACTAAGTTGCTAAGGCTTTTGAACTTGTGATCCTCCTGCCTCAGCCTCCCAAGCCACTGGGATTACAGGTGTGTGCCACCACACCTGCTGGGGATGTGTGCTGTTGACTGATGCCACAAGGTGAAGGCATCTTTTTGTCCTTTCTGCTCATTCCACTCCTCCAATGCAAGTGGAAAGGAAGGCCTCCCCAAATTGAGAGCTGGGGGCTTTGATATCACATTCATTCCCACTAATTCCATGAGCCACGTGTCACTGCCTATGTTATATACAAGTCCAAGATGAGGGATGCTGGGACACTGGGGCACACAGCACCTCATCCCTAACTTTGTGCTTGCCTGGAGTCCAGGCCTGTTTGCTCAATACAGTAGGTGAGGTCGAATCACTGGACAATATCAGTCTAGCATCACAGCTCTGAGCTAGGTCTCAGAACCTCAAGCTCTACTCCAACCATCTCTGCTTAAATCTCTCAACTTACATACAGGTTGTATGGTACGTAAGCCATACAACTGCACCCAACACCCCTGACATCATCCTCAGAGGAGGAGTCTTTTTTGATCAGCACTGTTGATTCTACCTTTTTCAACTCTGGGAGCTCAATCTGTTCTGCAGCACTTGACATGTCCCAAAGTTACACAAACCAATGTTAACGGTTCCAAGTCTCCTCTCATTTGTGCCCCAAATTTTTGGTGGTCAAATGTTTGGAATGAACAGTTTACCTTGCAAGGCCCTTCATACCCCCCTTGTGGCACCAGGCTTCCCTCCAAATGCTTTCTCCCAGGTCACTCCCCAATTCCAGATCCCCCGGCTCCTATCCTCACCTCTCCTTGTCAATGATCCTTGGAGACTGCTGGAAATTTCCCTTCATGCTATGAACACTGCAGGGATTATTCCACTCCCCACCTTCTTCCTCCCAACTCAGAATCCTGATTCTCCTCCTTCAAGCTTCAACCTGAGACACCACTCCCTGATCCTGTCTACCTTAAGTCCAGTCCTGTGGTTCTACTTCTTTAGGTGCTCTTTCTCTGTGAGACAGGATGAAGCACCCTCCCAGAGTCAGAGCCCAACCAGATGGAGCCTGGAGGTGGGTGAAAGTGCCCAGATGGGCATCAAGGAAGCAGCCCAAAAGCCTAGAGGTAGGGGTGGCACAAGAAACTCATGCCTTCTGCTTTTCTTCTCACCTGGACCTGCCACCCCCAACCCCTACCCCAATTTCTTGCCAGCAATTCCTCGACAACTGAGAGGTGTCATCTTTTGCTTCTTTCCCTTCCCCTCAGCCAAAGGTGACAAACCAGTGGTCCACAACACATTTTGTTTGGCCTGTCATACGTTTTGCAAGTTTCAATTAGCTGTTATCATTTAAAAATCAGGAGATTTCACTTAAGAGTCCAGCATTCTAGGTTCTTTTGAAAAATCAGAGTATGTTTGCGGCAGGCCCACATTCCTGCATGATGACAACCATTGGGAGCTGGTATCCATTGTTGCTTTCTGTGTGCTTGTGCTCTGGTTTCTGAAGTTCTAAGCCTCCCAATCACAATTACCATCTACATCAGCTGCTTGGCTTCTAAATTGTATCTCTGCAGGAGGCAGTCCAGCAGGAAGGAACAAACTCAAGGCTGATTAGAGGTTGTCCTGTACAACCCTCCCACTGCCCACAGGCCTCAGCACATGAAGGAGGCAGAGCAGGGTTAGCAGAGAGGCAGGGTGGAGAGTCCCAGTTGGGAGCCACTTTTTAGTCTCTCTCTGATCACTGTTTATTGCAGCAGCATCCAGGCTCTGCATTTGTCCTCTCCTGGTATAGGCCTGCCTCTGGGGGTAGCTGCTACAAACACAGAGCTTGCTGCCTGTTTCTTCAGGGCACTCCACATCTCATCGGAACTGGGCCTGAGGCCTGAGGTTTTGTCCTGAGCCTGAGTAGCAATGTGGCCAGAGGCATGTGCTTCCTTACTATCTAGCCAACTCAGCCAAATGTACACCAGGGGGTGGCCGTCTTGTCACAGTCCAACATGATGTTGAGCACAGTACAGGGGGCCCCACCCACAGACAGGGCTGTGCGGGAATCCACGCGGTACTTCACAGTGTTCAGGCCTCCCTCCCGGTCCACCTTGAATTGCTCCTGGAAAGGAAAGGAGAAAAGGGCTCAGATTCAGGGCTTCATGAGTGATAGCTATTCACTGATCTCACAGAGCCTCAACATTAAAGATCCTGTGATTCTCAGTAAGACAGGGAACCCCAAGTTCAGAAAGTGAGCTCTCTTACTCACAGCTATATCCTGGGACTTTTCTATTGGATGATTATGCCTCTGAGGTTAGAGGCTGTGTGAGGAACAGGGATTCTGGCATACCTCCCCGCCTTTTTTTCTTTTTTATACTAAGGATTGAACCCAGGGTACTTTACCACTGAGTTACATCTCCAACCCTTTTTATTATTTTGAGCTAGGACATCACTAAGTTGCTGAGACTGGCCTCAAACTTATGATCCTTCTGCTACAGCCTCCTCAATCTGGGATTACAGGGGTGCACTACTGAACTCAGCAGATTCCAGTATCTTCAGCTAAGCCTCCCCCAACCCCTAGCCTACATGAATGGATAGGCAGCCCAGTGTCCAGGATGCTCATGGCAGCTACCAGGGCAGGACACAGTTGTAAGCAGAATGTCCACCGACTGACTGGGCCAAGCAGGGGAGGATAGGCCACTGGGGCCCAAGCAGAACTTGGTGAAATGCTTGGGCCTGCTGGCTCCCCACATTACCACTTATCTGTCCTGATGAGGAGACTAGTCAGCACCTGTTTTTGAGCCGCAATGCGCTTCTGGTCCCTCTTCCGCCAGGCTGGGTCATGCAGGTGGTGAAATGTTTTGTATCCAGTTGTGATTCCTGAGGGGCGGAAAAGCTAAGGAGACCAATGGAAGTGGGGGTCAGGCCACTCCTCCTGGAGCCTTGACCCTCCCCACTAGTTCCTCTGGAGTCCTACTGCCTGCCAGGAGGCCACAGGCAGGGGCTTGTATTCCTATTTCGCAGGAGAGGAGACTGAGGTACAGAGGACAAAGGACTGACAAAATGACCACTGCGACTCAGGGCAGGGATCAGAACTGGGGGTAGGGAGGGCAGTGTGTGTGGAACTCCCCTCAGAAAGAAAAGGAAACCTTAGGGCAGCCACAGTGGCTGAGGAGGTGGCAGGGCCCTGGAGGAAGTCTTACCTGGAGCCCAGCTCCTTTGATGCGCCGGTAGAATTCATCATCCTCTCGGCCCCAGCCCCAGAAGCGGTTGGACATCCCATTGCACTGACACAGAGACAGGGAGCATCTGTCACCTGCTGCCTCCTCCCAGGGGTATACTTTGGTTCCCTACCACTTAGAAAAACCCCAGCCCAAGCCTGAGAAGCCAGGCTCCCCCTTCCTCTTCCTCCCCTGACTGTTCTGAATGAACACCAGGGCTTCCAGGTCCCTCCACCCCTGTGGTATTGGGAGAGTGGAAAGGAGGAGTCAGTACATTCCAGTCCCTGTAACATTCTAAAAGGGCCCTGAACTTGTGTGATGAGAAGATTAGTCTCAAAATGTCTGACTAGCCAGAGGAGACACCTCTGGGAGGTTGCTGATGGGCAGAGATGCCTGCTTGTACTGATTTCTGCAATTCCCTCCTACTCTCGTTTCTCCTGAAATGGTTCTGACCTAATCTCTTCCTCTGTGTGAGAGGGACAGTTGGGGTCTGTGGTTACACCTATTTTTTGCATTTGGCTCAGGGGCATAAAGTTGGCTTTGGCCATGGCTTAAAGACAAGACTGGGAGCCCTAGCCCCAAGCCACTCAGTTCTTCTCACCCATCTGTGCCCCCAACCACAGTGACAGACTCAGGAACAGACTAATCAAAAGCCAGTGAGGTTGTGCTTGGGGACTCCTATCTGGGCTTTTTGGGAAGGAGCAGGTCCATCTCCCACAAGCTTGGGTCCTAAAGGAACACTGGTTGCAGCTACAACAACCTCCTTGCAGAACTGCACTCTAATGCCTGGAAGGCAAAGCTGAGAGAGAAAGACACAGAGTTCCAGTGACTGGCTGAGAGGTGGGCAACGTGCACCTGAAGCCAGACCCTCACCCACCCCCACTTTTCAAACGTGAAGGCCAGCACATCCCCAGTTTACTGAAGTCAGCTGGAGTGGGGGTTTCTGTTGCTACAGCAGAGCCCTCGCTAGCTGACTTGCTCATTCCTCATCCTCTCTCATGTCTCTGGCTACTGCTGAGTCCCCTGCTAGGCCTATGCAGACCTCCATCTGCTGGGCCCAGGAGGCTGCTCTGTCCTGCCAACTGCTTCCACCCCAGGGTGGGGCGAGTTCTAAGCAAAGCAGGCTGGGCCAGGCCTCACCAGCTGGTAGTGCTGCTTGGAAAGCAGCAGGATGCCGCCCACGTAGGTCTTGTAGTGGTAGAGTGGGTGGAGCTCTGGTGAGGCCACATGGAAGGGCCCCGCCTCAGGGAAGCCATAGTCCAGCTCCTCGTTGAGAGGGAGCAGGTCCACATCATGCATGGCAATGTAGTCTGTGCTGTTGCTGCTCTCCAGGAAGCCCACGTTGATGAGTGCTGCTCGGTTGAACCTGTGTAGGGAGGTTGAGGCTGGGCAAGGGACAGCAGGCTTGCGCACCACCTGGTCCTGCCCCCAGCTCTGCATGAAAGCCTCTTCCCCACACATACCCCACCCCAGAGGGGCCTCTGCTACCCTCAGCCCTGCACTGACTTCACTACATGGGGCTGAACCCCCCATTTGGGGCACAAGTGTTTACTGAGCACCTGCAGTGTGCTAAAACTGCTCAAAACTGTACTGGAAAATACAGCAGTGAGAAAATAAAGCCCCCTCTTAAGAGCTGACAATCCAGTGGGAGAAAACCAAGAAGTATATACATAAGGAGGCAGACAGAGATAAGAGCTGTGGGAAGAGTCAAGCAGGGTGAGGAGGATGAAACTTGCTGGGTACAGGGGCAGGGACAGCTATTCAGTTAGGGCTGTTGGGGAGGGCCAGGGTGACCAGGCAACATTTGAGTAAAAACCTGAAGGTCTGAGAGAATGAGCCATATGAAAGCTGAGGGAACAGGACTCCAAGGAAAGGATAAAGTAAGTTCCAAGGCCAGAGGCAAGAGCAGACACCAATGTGGGCAGAATGAAGTTGGAAAAGGGATGAAGCAGGGGTTGATGGGGATGGGGCCTACAGGTTACTCAAGGACTGGGGCATCGACATTGGTGAGACAGGGAGCTGCTAGAGGTCTTGGAGCAGAGGTATGAAGGGCTGTGACTTGTTTTATGGGGATCATTCCAGTCAGCATATTGGGAAGAGACTGTAGGAGCAGTGCAGAGGAAGGCAGACCAGCAGGAAGCAAGAGGTGATGAAGGTGGCTTTGCTTGAAGGGAGCAGAGGAGGTGGTGAGGTGCATTTTTGATGGATTGAATGCTATGTGATTAAGAAAAAATTGGTGAGCATGACTCCAAGGCTTTTTCACTTGAGCAGTTAGAGCACTGAGTTTCCATTTCCTGAAAAGGGGAAGAGGCAGGGGCAACAGGTCTGGGATGTATAATCAGGAACTCAGTTGTGATTATGCTAAATTCAAACTGCCTCTGAGTCAGCAATTGGAGAGGGAGCATAAGTGTCTGGATGTGGGAGTTTGAAGTTCAGGGAAAAGGTCTGGAGTCTAGGTTGGGAATGCAGATTTCAGAGTCAGCAGGAATTTAATGCTATAGGACTGAATGAGATCCTCAAGGAGAGACTGCAGCAAGGAAAGCAAGAATATCCAAGCACTGATTCCCAAGGAATACTGCTGGTGAGGCATCACAGAAATGAGGAAGAATTGGCAAAGAAGATAGGTACGGTTCGCCGGCAGGGACAGAGGAGAATCAGAGAGCACTGTCCCAGAAGTCAAGCAGAGTCATATGAAGAAGGAAAAAATAATCCACTTAGCAGATGCTGCTGGGTCACAGGACAAAGGCTTGGGATTAATGAAGTGGAGGTCATTGGTGATTTCAAGGAGGGCAGTTTCAGTGTCACAATGGAGGTGTCTAAGTGAAACAGGTTCAAAGGAAAATGAGGAAAGAGAAGGGGAAGGAGTTCTGTTACAAAGGAGAGCAGAGAAGTAGGGTAACAGCTGTAGGGGATGTAGGATGAAGGGACTCTCTTTTTCCCTCTTTTCCTTTTAGAGAGGAGCTATCTTAGTATGTGTGTATGCTGGTGTGAATGTTCCAAGAGAGAAGAAAAACTGATTATGCAGGAGAAAAAGGGGCCATCCACTGGAGTGCTGTCCTCAAGTGGGAGGAAGAAGAGGGACCCAGTATTACAGTGGGAGAGCTGGCCCCACAGAGGACTGTGACAGTCATCCCAAGTAATAGGCAGGAAGCTGGAAGATGAGCGGAGGTGGCGAGAACAGAAAAGGTCTCTTTCAATTATTCCCATTTTCTTAAACTGGAAGCAAATTCATCAGCCAAGAGTGAGGATGAGGAAGGAGTAAGAAAAGGAGTTTTGGAAGGCTGCCATGGATGGACTGCAAGAATGCAAGGCTTCCAGAAGGACACAGGGACTTCTTGTTAGGAAGATGAACAGCATGGCCATGCATGTCACTGTTTAAGGGCTAGATATTAAGGGTGGACATGAGGGAGGATTGGATAAGAGAAAGTAGAGACAAGGAGAGTGGGCAGTGAAAAGGTAGGAGGATCTGTGAATTCATGGGGTGGGTGGGGTCCAGGAATCACTGGAGTTCGTCTTACAGTGGGAGTAAGTTGAAAGGAAATGAGGTAGGGGTTGGAATGTGAGATGCATGGATGGTGGTCATGGAGGGGAGAAGGCTGGATAAGGTCAAGAATTTTAGGATAAGGATAGTCTGTGAGAAATGGAGGAATCCTCCCTTTCCATAATTCTCCTAGCCTATCACCAGCAAGTCCTGTCTGCACTTCCTCCACATCACTTCTCTACCCCCTTGTACCATACTGGCCAAGCTATCATCACCTCTGATGACTGGTATACAGCTGCTTCTCTTGTCCCAGTATAATTTATTTAATATAGCCACAGTGATCTTTCCAAAATGGAAAGTAGATCAAAGCCCACCCCAAAGAATCCTGCCACACCCAATAAGGGGGGTCCATCAGCTCCCATCCTCTACCCCTAACCCAAGTGGATTAGGAATGAGTCCTGAGAGGCCTGGGCAAGGGGAAGCACCAGGTGATGGGGAACTGTGTCAGGAGGGGGATTCCTACCTGAAATGATCCACCTGGTTGAGCACATAGATGTGGTGCTGGATCTTCTTCCTGCTCAGGAAGCGGTGCATGTGGGGCACAAAGACCAGGAGCTCTTCAAAGCGTTCACGGAAGGGTACCAGCACTGCCAGGCGGTGGGGGCCCCATGACGCATCTTCTTCCCAGTGTTCAGGGGGCATCTCCGGAGGACAGGCCCGGGATGGACCCGGGTTCTCCTGCCCTTGTCCTCTGGCTGCCCGGGCCACATCACCAGAGCAGCTGAGCTGCAGCCAGAGTAGGGAGAAGAAGCCCAATAAGAGACAGGCAACGAAGAGGTGGAAGACGGAGCATTTCCTGGGGAGGCCGCTGGGGAGCAACCTAGACCTGGGACAAGAGCAGGGATGAGGTCAGAAGGGCAGGGCCAACATGGAGCCCTCTGACACACCCTTTTTCTGGCCTCCCCATGCACAGGGCACACATTCCAAGCACCTGGGAATTAGTACAGAAGCAACTTAAATGTTTTGCTCATGGTAGTACGACACATCAGAATCTGCTTAACTCTCTAGGACCAGTTTCTGCCACCCAACCTCTGGGACACTCTCCAACCACTCCTAAGTCACAAAGTTGCCCCAGTTCCTCAATGCTTTTCTGCTTTGTGAGTGAATCCCAGCCAGACCATGAGCTTAAGGGCAGGGACAGGAATCCCTGCCTCTCTTATTTGCCCTTTCAGGACAGTGGTTTGATGTCATAAGCCAATGGCAAGAATCTCACTTAAGAGATGCAACCCACTGCCTTCCAAACCTGGTTCCCTGTACATTCACCCCAGGAGAAACCCTGGCTTTGTCCTGCTTCTTGAGCTAACCAGAAAGTCCCCCAAGATAGCAATGTATGCTGGCATGAATCCCATGTGAAACAACCAATATTTACTCTAGTAAGATCAGATCTGCCCCTAAAGCAATACAAGGCCCAAATGGACAGTGGCAGTTCACTGGGTGAGTCTCAAAATCTTCAGTCCCAGTGTCAGCCCATGAAACAAGAGAGACAGAGAGGGAAAGAAAGATTAGAATTGGGTGCACTCTGGCTCATTTCAGAAACTGGACAAACAGCGAATATCTTAGACACTGGATAATGCTGGAAGACTGTCCTTTAGGTTAGGCGGTATAAAAAAAAAAAGTTGAATTCACTTGATTCCTTTATTCTTCCTCTGGAAGTTCCTGAAGATGCTAGGAAAGGAACCGAGAAATCCAAGACAGAAGCTGTTTCTATAATTCGTGTGGCCTCCACTCCAATATCTACAATGGGATCTGCTTTATAACCTAAGAATCAGGAATTAGCTACCAGGCCTTGTAAAGTCTACCTTGTGATCCTTCTCACTTATCTGGTCCTTGTCCTGCTCAGGTCACTTCAATTTTATGGATGATCTTCCTTTATTCACAAGATAAAAGACAAACTGCTTGGCCTAACAGGAAAAGCCCTCTCACAGTCAAAGCCTTTTGTGAATCAATCCAACCTTCAGTTGCTCCCAACTATTCACTCTCACCCTGGGTAACTTAGGGTCTCTCCACTGCCCACATTCCTTTCTGCTCCAGACTTTCCTCACCCCACCGTTCCTCCTGCCTGACATGCCCTTCTTCATTTATCTATCTAGAAGCCCCAAGCTGATTCTTCAAGGACAAATTCCAACATAGCCACCTACCATCTTACCCCCACCCTATAAGGTTCCCTCTTTTGTCTTCACATGCCATCTTGTACTTCTGTTTAAAGCACTCACCTGTAATGACTTGAGACCCTACTTGTCAAACCATGTAGGATTCATATCTGTGGACCCAACACAGGTCAGAGAGCAAAGGGTTTGCTATTTGAGTTAAAGGAAGGGATAGAGCAGTTCTGGCATGCTTTAAGTCACACACCAGAGCTAGACCAATGCCTACCTTTCTCTAGAGGCAAAACTGCCAACCTGGAAGCCAGCAGCCCTGAAGCCAGGCCCAGGTCCCACATGCAGCTGAGAGATGGACCAGTTGGACATCCTCACAGGGCTTCTGACTTACCCACCATTGTCCTGCGGAGGTGGTTTCCGCTGGGGAGGAACAGAGCCCAGTCTTGCAAGTGGCCTGAGAAGGCTAGAATCTCTACAGATTCTCTCTTGCCCTCTGGGCTTTCTCTGGGGGCGAGGTGGAATCTGGGAAGGCAGACTTGGGATAGTATCCCTCCTTTTGGAGAAGAAGCAGTGACCATTACCCAGGCGTATGTCATGGATTGGGCATTCCACACACTTTCCCATACCGTTTCTTCTATCCAGCTTGCTCATTCTACCAGGATCACATTCCAGTGGTGCTCTCCTCCTGTGTTCTAAGGGCCCAAACTACTAGCAACTAAATTGGGCCCAGAATCCCATTTCCTCAGAGCAATGGAAACCCAAAGTCATTGCTGATGCCACCTGGTGGCAAGATCCAGAACTGCAATCCCAGATGCTTCCCAGGCCCAGGCCACCCTGGCTCTGATGAGCAATTCAGATGACACTTTGTCTCCATCAGTCATTGCCCAAGACTAAGAGATGACTTCAGACTCAACACTTAATTGCTACACTATCCTAAATTTGCTGCATGGATCCTTATATTCCTGTGTCAAAAGCACAGACTGTATCAGGAAACTGTGGGGGAGGGGGTTAGACACAGTTATAGAAAGGAATCCAGAAATGGAAATACTCCTTCTTTCCTTTTCCTTTCTTCTCTCCTACAAACGTTGGTGGTCAATATTTGAATACTCAGATGCTCTTAACTACAGCACCTCAAAAGTGAAAGGTAACTAGAACTGTTATCCTCTCTGTGTAAGGCATAGTGACAAGGGTTTTACACATATGATCTTTAATCCTCCTACAGACTTGTAGAGTAGATATTATGATCCCCATTTCAGAGATGGAAGACTAAATCAGGAAGATTAAGTGATCTGTTTCTGGTCACCTGTCTACTAAACAGGATTCCAGCTCAGGTCTGACTCCATAGGCCATGCCTTCTATTATATTCCTATTCATTTCAGCACCAAGTTTGGGGAAAAAAAGAAAAGAACCTTGGCCGCTAAATTCTAGAGTCTTATGGCACCTAACAAATTTAAGACAGAAAGGGAATGAAGTATCACTCACTGTGCAAAGATCCACTAGCATGTGTTCTGGGGAGGATTTCAAGCCTGAACTGTGGACATCCCCCCCAAAATGTAGGCAGTCAAATGGCTCTCTCCATTCTGCTTAATGGGAAACATCATTAGCTAAGATCTGGGACACGCTCACACCTAACACTTGGARCAGGCCCCATGCAAGTACAGCTGCACAGGAAATGAACTAACGGTTGTGTGAGAAGTGTCTAGTACAAGCCAGGCAGTGGCCAACCAGGCAGTGCATACGAAGCTTCTGTCTGGTATGTTCTTCTGAGCAAAGTATGGGGAAGCACGAAGAAAAGAGGGTAGGACCTGAAGCTATGGGGCTGTAATAGGGGTGGCAAGACCAAAGAAACCGATTAAGGTCCTAGGAGGCCAAGAAAAACAGGGAGACTGAGATCCACTACAAGAAGTTCACCGAGTCTGAGACGCACACGAACTGGGAGATGGGCCAGTGGAGAAAAACACGAAAAGACATGAGAGACTCTCAAGGAGGGAAACAAATTCACAAAGGGAGGTCAATGAAGAAGATAGAGGGAGAGTCAGCGACAGAGGGAAAGAGAGAGACCCACTGGGAGAGCCACAGACCCTCAGAGAAAGCCGCAGAGCACTAGACCTGATGGCCTCAGCCCCCTAGATTCCGCGGGGTGGCCCGGAAAGGGGTAGCACCCGGAGGGTCGCGGCCAGAGCCGGCCGCCGCCGCTCACCTGCCATCCTCCCAGGGCAGCTGCACCGCTTTCCTCCGGGAGGGGAACATCGTGTGGGGAGGCGGCTGCACATGGGGCTCGAGCTCGCAGCCCCGCGGACCCGGCCTCCGGGTCCTACGCGGCGCCTCCGCCTCCCGCCCCGCCCTCCCGCCTGCCCCGCCTCCCGGTCCGCCGGGTCCGACACTCCGGCCGCGCCGTCTGCTCTCCGGAGTCGCTGCCTCCAAGGTTCTGCTGGCAGAGAAACTGGGCGCTTCCGCCGTGGCGCTGGCAACTACCTCCAGGAATCCCCCTGACGCCGGGAGAAACGGAGGCCCCAGAAGCCAAAACCCTACCCAACAAGTCACTGGTCTGGGACAGGATTTAGGCTCCAGACTTACAAACAGGCGCTTTGGGATAATGTGCATTTTCCTCTTCCCGAATATAGGCGGGGATTGTCGTGGCTCGTGTGCTGTCAGTCCAGAAGGTTAGGTTCTTCCTGCACACAAGGCCCAGCTCAGTCTTCCCAAGTAGTAGTTAGGAACTGGATTCTGAATAGAGACTGAATATGTTTGAAACCCCTCTCTACCAATTCAGCTGTGCTTGGGGGCAAACCATAATCTCTTTGTGACTTTCCTCATCTGGGCATATAAAGGGTTCCTATTCTCTATGGTGGTTGTAAGGGTTAAGAAGAAAATGCAATCCATTTGGTACAGCGGTGGGTATACAGTCAACGCTATGTAACTAATAGCTGTCATTCAGTAAAGGGGTACTTCGGTGCAGTTAGGAACTGAAAAAGGGAATGAGAGAATGTGGAATTAAGCTGTCTCCCCCACCCCTCCTACCTGGAAAAATAGAGCAGTAGAGTTGTGAGACTTATCTCTTCTGCTCTTCCAAGCAAACTGTTTCCTAATAAATAGCTAACATCTAATAAATTCTTACTATATATGGTAGTTATTGCTATAAATTTTTTACTATTGGAATCTCATTCTGTTCTTGAGTAGGTATTCATTATCACCACTTAAAAGGTAAGGGAACTGAAGAACAGAGAACTAAATCAAGTAGTCTAGTTGCATAATATATCCCCCCAACACACACACACACACACACACACACACACACACACACACGAAACACAATCTGTGATCTTAAGCACACTGCCTCAGAGAGAACTTTACTATGGGTAGGAAATTAATCATTCCCAGCAATACCTTTCCCTCTCAAACCCCAAGGCATACAACCCAACCTTCCCCATCCTGTGATTTTCCCAGAACACTGCATCCTACATCAGAATGTTGGCAAATTCAGCCTAGATTTGACTGACCTGCAGAGACCAGTTAAGGTCAATCAATGATGGAAGCAGGAATATGGAATTATATAGAGTCTGGACCCTCCTAAAGGGGACAGGAATCACTGCATCCTGCTAGTTATTACAATGAAGTCCCATTAGTGTCAGATTTCACTCACAAGAAATAAAATTTTATATAAAAATTTATTTTTTTAAAGAGAGGGAGAGAGAGAATTTTTAATATTTATTTTTTTAGTTAATCAGCAGACACAACATCTTTGTATGTGGTGCTGAGGATCGAACCCAGGCCGCACGCATGCCAGGCGAGCGCTCTACCACTTGAGCCACATTCCCAGCCCATAAAATTTAAGTAAACTAATTTTAAGATGTAACATCTAGTTATAAGTCAAGTTGATAATAAGTATCCTTGATATGCTGAGAATGACACTTCTTCTTTGTAGTTTGCCTTTCAAAAACCTATAACCATCTTGGAGAATCAATCAAATTTTCTTGGGTGCAGTAGTACTAATGTGGCATAATGAACCCCACTATTATGAATAATTAAAATGTATCAATAATTATAACTAGAGCCCAGCATGATGGTGCACACCTGTAATTCCAGATACTGGGGAAGATAAAGGGATCAAAAGTTCAGGTACAGCTTGGGTAATTTAGTGAGACTCTATCTCAAAGTAAAAAAATTTTTTTTTTTTTTTTTTTTTGTATTGGGGATCGAACTCAGGGGCACTTGACTCCTGAGGCACATTCCCAGCCCCATTTTGTATTTTATTTAGAGACAGGGTCTCACTGAGTTGCTTAGCACCTCACTTTTTGCTGAAGCTGGCTTTGAACTTGGCAATCCTCCTGTCTCAGCCTCCCAAGCCGCTGGGACTACAGGCTGAGCCACCATGCCCAGCCTCAAAGTAAAAATTTTAAAAAGGGWTGAGAGCCAGGCATGGTGGCCAATGCCTATGATCCCAATGACTCCAGAGTTTAAGGCAAGGGGGTCACAAGTTTGAGGCCAGCCTCAGCAACTTGGTGAGACCCTGTCTCAAAATAAAAAAGACTTGGGGTGTGACTCAGTAGTAGAGGGCCTCTGGATACAATCCCTGGCACCAAAAACCAAAATAAAGTGGGGGGAGGGGCAGAGACTGTAGCTCAATGTTGGAGAGCTTGCCTAGCACACATGAAGCCCTGGGTTTAAAAGGAAAAGAGGAAGGGAGGGAGGGAGGGAAGGAAGGAAGATATAACCCCATCTAATCATGAGAAAAATGAGATGAATCCATGTTGAAGGAAATTCTACAAAATACTTGACCTCCCCAAACTGTCAGGAAATGATCAAAAAACAAGTAGTATCTGAGAAATTGTCAGTCAAGAGAAGTTTAAGGAGACTGGTGACTGAATGTGATGTAGAATTCTGGGTGGTTACCTGGGACACAAAAAAGACATCAGGTGAAGAAATTTGCATGAGGCACGAACTTTAATTTAAAATAATGCATCAATATTAGCTTACTAATTTTAACAAATGTACCATTCTAGTGCATGTAAATAGGGAGAACTATGTTCAGGTTTTTCTGTAATTCTGAAGCTGAAATTTATTTTTTAAATATTTTTTTTTATTTTTTAAATATTTTTAAAATATTTTTTTAGTGTAGATGGACACAGTAGCTTTATTTTTATTTATTTATTTTTATGTGGTGCTGAGGATCAAACCCAGGGCCTCACGCATTCAAGGCAAGTGCTCTACCACTGAGCACTTTACTCTTTTTTTAACTCAAAAAACTCAACACTAAAGAAAAACTCAACAAGGGCTTGGGTTGTGGCTCAGTGATAGAGCCCTTGCTTGGCATGTGTGAGGCACTGGGTTTGATATTTAGGACCACATAAAAATAATAAATAAATAAATGTATTGTGCCCATCTATAACTAAAAAATATTTCTTAAAAACCAATCAATAAATGGACAAATGAATTGCACACACTCCTCAAAAGAAATACAAATGACCAACACCTACAGAAAACTCTTCAACATCTTTAGCCATCCAGAAAATGCAAATCAAAACTACACTGAGATTCTATCTTACTCCAGGTTAGGATAATCAAGAATACAGATAACAATAAATGCTGGCCAGGATGCAAAGGAAAATAAAAACTCTTATACACATTTAGTGGGAATGTAAATTACTGTAGCCACTATGGAAATCGGTATAGTTTTCTCAGAAAGCTAGAAATGGAATTTCCCTATGATCCAACTATATCCCTCCTTGGTATTTATCAAAACAAAGTCAGAGGGCTGAGGATATAGCTCAGTTGGTAGAGTGCTTGCTTCGAGTGCACAGGGCCCTGGGTTCAATTCCCAGCAACACACACACACACACACACACACACACACACACACACACAGAATTAAAAGTCTGCATACTTGGGGCTGGGGTTGTGGCTCAGTGGCAAAGCACTTGCCTTGCACATGTGAGCACTGGGTTTGATTCTCAGCACCACATAAAAATAAGTAAACAAAATTAAAAAATTGTGTCCCTCTATAACAAAAAAAGTCTGCATACTTTACCATATACCCATTCTTTTGCAGGGGGCTGGGGATTGAGCCCAGGGGTCCTTAACCACCGAACCACATCCCCAGCCCTTTTTTATATTTTGAGACAGGGTCTCACTGAGTTGGAGACTAGCTAGGTTGCTGATGCTGGCTTTGAACTTGAGATTCTCCTGCCTCAGCCTCCTGAGCCACTGGGATTAAAGACCTGTGCCTCCATGCCTGGCTTCATATGCCCATGTTTATTGCAGCACAGTTCATAACAGCCAAGTTATGGAATCAGCCTAGGTGTCMATCAACAGATGAATGGATAAAGAAAGTATACACAATGGAGTTTTATTCAACTATAAAAAATCAAAATTATCATTTGCAAGAAAATTTACCTAGCCTAGAGACCATGGCTTTGCTTTTTTTTTTTTTTTTTTTTTTTGGTACTGGGGATTCAACCCAGGGGCGCTCTACCGGTAAGCTACAACCCCAGCCCTTTTTTTCAAGGCAGGATTCTACAAAGTTGCTGAGGYTGGCCTTAAAATAGCTGCCCAAGTCTAGTGGGATGATAGGTATATGCCACCGCACCAAGCTGAATTAATGATTTTGAGCAAAATAAGCTGGACTCAAGGTACTGTGTATTTTCTCATATGTGGAAGCTAGATGGCGGAAAAATAGAAATAAAAAGGAGTGTCGAGGGGAGTGCCAAGGATGCGGACAGAGACTACTAGGGTAAAGGAAGCGGGGTAGTGAGGGTGGGAGGTTGGGAGAAGAGGTTGGGGAGTAAAATTGATCAAATTGTTTTATGTATATATAAGTATGCCACAATTACACCTACTATTATACAGAGAATATGCACCAATAAAAAAATTAAATGTGGAGGCCCATGAGCTCAGATTTCATACTCCCAGTAGATTCAGTTAACCCCCAAACTTGTCTCCTCATCCCATCATTTTCACAAATTGGATTCACCTTCCTCAAATTTATCCTCAGGTGATTCTTCTACTTAGAACCTTGTTGGCAGATGAGAGATGTCCAAATCTCCTACTTGGGGATCAAGGCTCTTCCAGTTCAAATCCTTTCCAGTGACAGACTGTCCATCCATCTCCACACCAATTGCTTGCTTCTTTCAACCTCCTCTGCCCTGCAAGTTCCTTTCCTTAGAATCCTTCTTCTTCATGATTCTTGAAGAAATCACTTGTTATTAATAACAAGCCCACCAATATCTTCACAGCCCTGGGACTCTCCTTTCCACACATACAGCACTTTTCCTTATAGTCACTTTCTTGCAGCAAGCATGACAATTCTGCCTGCCTACTCTGCAAAGGAAAGGCACCTCACAATGGATCTGATGCAAAGGAAATGTTATATGAATTTGAGCCCCAACTTCATAATTTGATTGTTGGGTGGTCTTGAACAAACCCAATTCCCCCTTGCCACAGGAAGATATGGAGAGGTTGGAATCCACAGCTGGGGATTCACCTTGGAATATGCTTTGTCCATTGGAGAAATGATATTTCTGCATACTTTGCAGTGTCGTGTACACCAAAATTAACTTTACACTGGACAGGAAATTAATTTTTTCTTTTATTGGGAAACCAATGTAACAAACCTAGACTTGTTGAAAATGAAATCAGTAACTAAGATTCTGCAGGCCCTGTCCCCAACCAGCACCAAGGCCTCTGCTTGGCCTGACACTAGTTCCTCATGCCCCAGAAAGGGCAACCATGTGACAAAGCCAGAGTCAACCTCAGAGCCAGTTCCTTGCAATGTAGCCCCCTCCACCCCACCCTCAATTAATGCACACCCTGGATCAGCAGGCTGGGTCTAGGCCAAAGGAGAGAATTGATGAGGTTTCTGGGACAGGAAGTCACAGTCAATCCCAGCCTGCTCAAAATCCCAACTTAGCAAAGGAAGACAGAAGGCTTGCCTGCCCACCCATTTCCCTCCCCCCATCTATCCCAGACAGCAGCCTCAGATCCCTGATCAGTAACACTGTGATTCTAAGGTGCCAATGGGTTTCCCAGTGGCTTTACCAACCCCTGGTGATTACTGCAAAAGGTCCAGAGGCCAGGGGGAGGGGGCAGGCATGTGCCCCAACACCTGCTCAGTATTAGCCAGCCAAGCTGTTGCCTTTAGCTTGTACCAGGGGATACTTGCGGCYCCTCTCCCCTCCAGAACATCTATGGCTGAGAACCAGTCCTCCTGCCAGAGAGGAATCAGTTCCAGGAGGTCCTTTCCCCTCCCTCTTAAGAGGAAAGATAGCCTGTGAGGCATGGGACAGCTACACCAGCTTCTTGGCTTCAAAGAAGCTCTTGAGGTGCCTCATCTGCCAGACACCAATGGCCACGAGGATGAGGGTCTGCAAAATGGACCACCACAGCACCCTCTGGTTGGTGCTTTCACTGGTCTGCCTGAAGCGCTCCTCTCTCCACTGTGGGAAAAAACAAAAAGCGAGTGTGAGTTGGCTGAGGTTGCTAGAATGGTTGGGGTTCTAGCCTGCAAGGATTACCCATGGCTTGCCTCCTCTGCCTAAGTTCCAGCCAAGTGCCTGCAAACAAAGAGACACTCTACCTGGGGATTCTTTACGTTCAGCAGTCAATGGCTTCAGCTTCAGTCAATACAATCATTTCTCCTAAGACTGTCTCTCATCTGTCAGGTAYAGTCCTCACCTGGTCCTGGTCCTAGTCCTGGTCCTACCCTGGTACTTGGAGAAGTAATAAGGTGGTGGTGGTATCACCCCGTGGGATAGAGATAGCCTGAATTACTAAGGAGTGGGCTTGCTCTAAGCCCTCTGTCCAGGTCTCTCACATTGCTTCTTGAAGATTTTGGGTAAAAGTTACAAATTGGTGACCTGGGGAGCTGGTTCTGGTTTTTATACATGTTTGGTTTGGCTCACACAGTGTTTTGCCAACATTTAAAACTAAGGAAAATTTCACATTAAAAAAACCTAGATCTCTAGTTGCTCTTGAGAAAAAATGGAATATCTGAAAACTCAAGGCCCACATTCTGCAAAGGGGCCTCCAGTTGTCACTGAACGTAGCTATTCCTATTAAGATGGGTCACCATCTACTACTCTTTATGGTCACAGATTTATTCATGGTACATCTGGTTTCTGGCCACAAATGAACTTAAGGTTCTTGGTCCTAGGAGCCACCTAGAGTCATTGAAACAGCACCCAAGGGCTGGGGATGTGGCTCAAGCGGTAGCACGCTCGCCTGGCCATGTGTGCGGCCAGGGTTCGATCCTCAGCACCACATATAAACAAAGATGTTGTGTCCGCCGAAAACTAAAATAAATAAATAAATAAATAAATAAAATATTAAAAAAAAAAAAAGCGCTCGCCTGAAACAGCACCTAAGGAGTTGTTATCAACCCCCATCCTGTCATTCTGTGTGTAACTGATTCAGTGCACTGATTTGACAGCCTCTTAAAGAGTTTATCCTCAGGGCTGGGGGTATAGCTCAGTGGTAGAGCTTGCCTAGCATATGTTAGGCACTGGGTTTGATCTTTACCACCACATAAAAATAAACAAATAAAATAAAGGTATTATGTCCATCTATAATTAAAAAAAATTTTTTTAAGAGTCTATATTCTCAATCACAAGATGGATTTGGTAATACCCATCCCACCTTTTAGAACTGCAATGCAGCATAGGTAAGTTTCTTGAGAGTCTCACTGCCAGGCAACACTTGGCTGAGCCAGTGGGCACCCACCAGGCCTGGATGAAGCACTTACCCGCTGGTAGTTCTGCTCTTTCTGAATCTGCTCCACTTGTTCTACCAGCTGTCGCACACGCAGCTGTAACTCACTCAGCTTGTCTTTGGCAGCAATTTCTGCATAGTCGTTGGCATGTTCACCCACCTGAATGTCAAGATGAACTCTCTGGGGACAGACAAGGGAGAGAAAGGGAATCAGGCAGCACAGCTCCATCTTCCTGCCAGAGCCTGACAGCTGATCCCTAACTTTCCTTCATTTGTCCATTTAACCAACAGACAGGCTTCTTCAGTGTCCAGCCCTATGGGGCTCTGGGTGCACAAGTAAGAAAAATAAGCCAGGGCTGGTGCTCTAACTAAGGCATATACAGTCTGATCTTCTGTATCTGTGGGTTCCCCATCCACAGATATAAACAACTGCAGATCAAAACTATTTTTAAAAGATTAGTCCAGGCATGGTGGTGCCTGCCTGTAATCCCAGAAGCTTGGAGGCTGAGGCAGGGGGATTATAAGTTCAAAGCCAGCCTCAGCAACTTGGAAAGACACTTAGCAACTCAGCAAGACCCTAACTCAAAATAAAATATAAAAAAGTGTTGAGGACATGGCTTAGTGGTTAAGCACCCCTGAATTCAATCCTCTGTACCAAAAAAAAAAAAAAAAAAGATTAAAAATAAAACATGTGGGCTGGGGATGTGGCTCAAGTGGTAGTGTGCTCATCTGGCATGCACAGGGTGCTGGGTTCGATCCTCAGCACCACATAAAAATAAAATAAAGATGTTGTGTCCACCAAGAACTAAAAAAATAAATATTAAAAAAAAAATTCTCTCTCTCTCTTTAAAAAAAGATAATAAAATAAAATAAAACATGTACATAGTGAGTATGTACAAACTTGTACAGACTTTTTTTGGTCATTATTCTCCAATTAATGCAGTATGACAACTATTTACAAAGTATTTACATTATATTAGGGATTATAAGAATCTAGAGATGACTTCAAGGTAGGCATAAGTTTTATGAAAACACTACCCATTTTACCTAAGAGACTTGAACATCCAGGGATTTTAGTATCCAAGAGGGGCCCTAGAACTGAAGGATGACTATACAAAAAGCCCAGTTACTGTGCCCATAATGTCCACTGGAAGCCCAGTGTTATCAGGAGATGCAAAATGCAACATACTTATCCCTCACCTACAGTACCAAAAATTCCCAATCCGAGGGCTGGGGTTGTGGCTCAGAGGTTCAGTGCTTGCCTAGCATGCGTGAGGTACTGGGTTCGATCCTCAGCACCACATAAAAATAAAGATATTGGGCTGGGGATGTGGCTCAAGCGGTAGCGCGCTCGCCTGGCATGCTGCAACCCGGGTTCGATCCTCAGCACCACATACCAACAAAGATGTTGTGTCCGCCGAGAACTAAAAAATAAATATTAAAAATTCTCTCTCTCTCTCTCTCTCCTCTCTCACTCTCTCTTTAAAAAAAAAAATAAATAAAGATATTGTGTCCTCCACCAATAACTAAAAACTTAAAAAAAAAAAAAAAATTCCCAATCCTGACCAAAGGATAAAGGCTGAATGCTTTTGAGTCTCACATGAGTCCACTTACCAGCATGCCTCCAGCAAAGAGGGAGAACTTGGTGGAATTTGAGTGAAGACAAATCTGGTGTTCACCAGGGGTATGTGAGGTGAAAGTGAACCTGCCCTCGGAGCCATACTGACGGGCCAGGATGACCTGGAGAAAGAAGAGAGGCTTTAGTCAGTGTTATAGTAGGAATGAGGCTGAAAGGAACTTAAAGCTATAAGTACCACAAAAGTTGACAAGCAGAGTCTTAAGGACCTCAAAAGATCCAAAGCTGCTCAGTAGCAATTGCCAAATGTTTGCTGAAAACTATTTGGGGCAGGGTTGAAGGGTCTGACATCAGTCTGGCAACTGATGATTCTTGGCAAGGGCTTCCCTGTACTCATAGCTAATGCCTTTTCAACCTTGTTGGTGCGATTTTTTTCTTCTCTTTTTAAATGAAAGGTGACCTAGGGTGACAGCGAGAGTTTTGTTTTTCTTTTTAATGTCCTTATTTGTCAAAATTAAAAGTTGCTGATTTTTTTTTTTTTAAGTGCTCAGTTCTGTAACTAGATACTACAGTTTTAGGGTCAACAAAACTCACTGATTTTCATCATCGTAATTAATCTACCCATCACACCTATAAAATAAGTGAATTTCCATTTCATAGACCAGGGAAATAACACAGAAGATAAGTGACTTGGCAGAGTCGTGCATCTGTCAGTAGGAAGTTGAAGGAGCGGCTAGGATCCCAGCAGCCCAAGTTTAGCCTGCAGAGAAAACCCAGGATTTCCCATAACTCTTTCCCATTTCAGCAGACCCGGAAACTAAGAGGGGCAGTACTAGAGCCTGTTTGGTGGAGGTCTCGCCGAGGTAAGGGGCCGGCTCACCTTGTCCTCTGGATCCTTCACCTCCACAAACATGCCAAGCCCCGGGGTGGCCGGCTGATACTCCTCGCGCTGCTTGTCATACAGCTGTGTTCGGTAATTTCCTGGAGACAAGCGAGACGAGCCCAGGTCAGAAGAGCGCGAGATGGCACTGGGTCCGCGACCGATAGGACACGGCAAAGCCAGCTCCTCCCAGCTCCCAAGAGCCGACAGTTTCACATCCCCCGCCCCAAGACCACGGTCACATCCCAAACTCTCCCCTTCATCCCCGCACCTATAACCATTGTCTCGTCCGGAATCTCCTCAATAAAGCACTTCTTCTCTGTCTCCCCGATGTGGAAGTAGAGCGTACTCCCGCGGGCCGCAAACCACATCAGCAGCAGAAGGGTCCGCATCATGCTAACCAGCCCGGTTCCGGGTCGGATCCCAAAGACCCGCATGCCAACCTCCGCAACCATCYTGCCCCACCTGCCCGCGCAGGCGCAGCCTGCCGAGCCACGTAGCCCTGCTGCTGCCACCGCGGTGCCTGCCGGGACCACGAGTTCGGCAGGGTGGACTACAAGTCCCGAGATGCTCAGCGGCCTCGGCGCGGCAGCACCTGATTGGGGCATCGTTTCTACCTGGTACCGAATTGGAACCCCCTAAATAGAAAGTTTCTTTCCTTTGATTCTCTTTAAGCAACTGGACGACTGGTGGTGATTGTTGGCATTCTACAGAGATGAAACCGCGTAAGATTGTTTGAGAACGCGGAACGAATTACGAGCAGAAGTAGGATTCGAACCGAGGATTCCTGACGTTCCTCAGCACAGCATCTGCCACTGTTTACCTCTATTTATTTCTTTGTAATGAAAGTTTAGGGCCTGGATATGTACCTCAGAGGCAGAGTGCATACCTACCATGCATGAGGCCTTGGGTCCAGACCCAGCACCGGGGGTGGTGGATGGGGGACGGGGTGGGGGGACAGGACCGGAGGAGACTTTCTTAAAAATGGCAGAAACAACGTACGAATTCTCAAAAAAAKAAAAAAGCCCACCTCTTTCTTTTGTGCCCCGACCACGTCCACTCCGAAATATGGTCAAAGCACACAGCRGATACGCTGCCCGCTGCGACGGCTGGTCTCCGGCCCGGGCTTTGGGCCCCAGAGGCTGGAGGGGAAAAGGTTTTCGTAGGAAGGTTGAAACCGAGTCTCCCAGACTAGAATCACCGCGTTTGTCTGAATTTTACCCAAAGTTCAGCATGTTTAGGAGTTAGCGGTTTATGGTTGTGACTGCGTCGCGGTTTCTTAGAAAATGGAGATTTTTCTCTTTACTTTTGGTTCTCTTCATTTACATTTGGCCCTAAGCTGAGAACTGGAGTGGAAAAGCGTTCATGTTTCCCCTTCAAAGGAAAGTTTTTACCTCGTTTTTTTTCTGAACAGTAATAATATAACGGTAGTACAAATGTACTTTATTATGATCCGTTCCTCTCATGAAAGATCATTAAGGTTTTTTTCCTTGTAATTGGGGTATAATGAAAACTCTTATAGATTTTCTTAAAAAACACATTTTTGTGTGACATTGCTTTGTTGGTAGGAAATCACAAAATTGCCTTCCAAATTCTTTTGTACCAATTTACAAGCCCACCAGTAGTGTTTCCTTTCCCATGCCTTTATCAAAATGTTCTTAATATTTTTAGTTTTTTATGAAAATAGCAGAAAAATTGCATTTCATTAACTTTTTAAATTTCCATTTCTTTTGTTACCTAATGTTTTTCCCCATTTGTTTTTCTTCTGGTTTGTTTTTCTGAGTACCATTATATCTACATGCTATTACTGCTGATGCAACTACTATTCAGAATTAATACAGAATAATATTTTGTAATACTAGGTTGGGGTATTTTTAAATTAAACTTTAAAATTGAGATATAGATTTACATGCAGTTATAAGAAATAATGCACAAAGATCCATTACTCAGTTTCCCTCAATGGTAACATTTTTTAGAAGCATATTATAACCAGGATTAACACTGATACTGTTGGAACTAATAAATTCAGCAAAACAGCAGAACACAAAGTCAACATACAAAAACCACTTGCAGAGCTGGGTATATAGGTCAGTTGGTAGAGTGCTTGCCTCCCATGCCCAAGGCCTTGAGGTTCAATCCCCAGTGCCACAAAAACAAAACAAACAAAAAAAACACAGTTGCATTTCTTAACACTAACAATGAACAATCTGATAAATAATTACAAAAACAATTCCATTTACAATAGTACTAAAAAGAGGGCTGAGGTTGTGGCTCAGTGGTAGACCACTTGCCTCTCACCTGTGAGGTACTGGGTTGGATCCTTAATACCATATAAAAATAAATAAAGATATTGTGTCTATCTACAACTTTAAAAAAGTTTAAAAAATAGTACCAAAAAGAATAACCAAGGAGGTACAATGAAAATACAATATATTTCTGAAAGAAATTGAAGACTTAAGTGGAAGTATATGTCATGTACATGGATTGAAGACTTAATACTGTTAAGATGTCAGTGTAGGGGCTGAGTTGTGGCAAAGCAGTAGAGTGCTCATCTAGCACTCACAAGGTGCTGGGTTCAATCCTCAGCTCCACATATAAGTAAGTAAATAAATAAAGGTATTGTGTCCAACTACAACTAAAAAAAGATGTCAATATTACCCAAAGCAATCTACAGATTTAATGCAATCCCTATCTAAATTCCAGTGATACTTTTTTTTATAGAAATAGAAAAACTCATTATAAAATTCATTTAGAAACTCAAGGGACTCCTAATAGCCAAARCAGTTCTGAAAAAGAAAAGTAAAGCTGGAGGATTCACTCTTCCTGATTTCAAAACTTACTACAAAAATACTGTAACAAAGACAGTGTTCATGGGATAAAAACATATTGACTCTGGAGTAGAGTCCAGAAATAAATCCTCCCATATATGGTTGAATAAGTTTCAATAAGTGTGCCAAGACCTTTCAATAGGAGGGGGAAGACAATCTTTCCAACAAATGGTGCTGAGAAAAACTGACATTCGTATGCAAAAGAATGAAGTTATATTCTTCCCTAATGCCATATACAAAAATTATCTCAAAAGGGACTAAAGAACTAAAACCATAAAATTTCTAGAAAACATAGGGCAAAAGCTTTACTGCATTAGATCTGCCAATGATTTCCTGAGTATGACACCACAACAGAAGAAAAAACAGACAAATTAAACTTTGTGAAAATTACAACATTTTGTGTATCAAAAGACACTTTGAGCAGAGTGAAAAGGCAACCTATAGAATGGAAGAAAATATTAGCACATCATATATCTTATAAGAGATTAATATCCAAAATGTACATATTCCTAAAACTCAACAATAACAACAAAAGTCTAATTTTAAAATGAGCAAAAGACACAGACATTTCTTCAAAGATCAACAAATGGCCAATAAGCATATGAAAAAATTCTCAACCTTACTAATTATTAGAGAAATGTAAACCAAAACTTCAAGGAGATATCATTAAGATATTTGTTATCAAAAGAGTGGGAGAAAGGTCAAGCATAATAGCACATGCCGGTAATCCCAGAGGCTCTGGAGGCTGAAGTCGGAGGATCACAGGAAACTGGGATATGGTACTTCTCTCAAGAGACAACAATAAGGACCTAGTAAGATGTCACCAAGGACTCTGTGGGCCTGGCTACACGAGAGATTTCTCTTCTAGGGGTGCTAACATTTATCCTTTTGCTGAGGTAACAGAGTCTTGTATGGGATTGCCTATCTCTTATTTCTCTTACTAATAGCCAATTTCTTATAATTACCTTCTCACTAGTCATATAATCTAATACCTATATATTCTCACATTCTACCTCATAAACATCTCAGCCAACCCTCCAGACCCCCTTCTACCATTAGAAACTGTAAACCATTACACAAACCTATTGACTGTATAGTAGAAGATAACCAAACTCATCATTTCTGATTATAGTGACAAAACTGTAAATGTAAGAATAGAAGCTAACTAATATATGGCTGCATGTTGGGTACATTGAGTACTGTAATATTGATCTCTCCCTCAAAAGTGAGGTATTGGTAACCTGTATGGACACTATAAGACAATAGGGCAAAAGCTGTAATACCTTGGATCTACACTGCAAGAGAGGAAGGCACATAAATATCATGAAAAAACAAGCGAGACAAACCAAGATACTACAACAACAGAATCCATACATAGTGCAGTAGGTGAAATGTCGGAGAAAGAGTTCAGAATATACATAACTAAAATAATTTGGGAATTAAAGAACAACCTAAGTGAGCAGATACAGGCAAAAATCGAACACTCCCAACAAAGAGATAAGAGAACAAATACAGGCAACCATCAATCACACCAACAAAGACATAAGAGACCAAATATAGGTTGCAAGAGATTGCTTCAAGAAAGAGAGAGATTCTGAAACAAACAACAACAACAACAACAACAAAAATAGAAATCCTTGAAGTTAAAGAAACAATAAGCCAATTAAAAACCTCAATAGATAGCATCACCAACAGACTAAATCACTTGGAATACAGAACCTCAGACAATGAAGACAAAATATACAATCTTGAAAATAAAGTTGACCTCACAGTGAAATGGTAAGAAACCATGAAAAGAATACCCAAGAATTATGGGATACCATCAAAAGACCAAATTTAAGAYTTATTGGGATAGATGAAGGTTCAGAGATTCAAATCAAAGGGTTGCACAATCTCTTCAATGAAATGATATCAGAACATTTCCCAAGCATGAAGAATGAATTGGAAAATCAAATACAAGAAGCCTATAGGACACCAAATGTACAAAATTACACCAGATCTACACTGAAACACATTATAGTGAAAATGCCTCAGCATACAGAATAAGGATAGAATTTTAAAGGCTATAAGAGAGAAAAATCAGATTACCTATAAGGGAAGACCAATTCAGATCTCAGCAGATTTTTCAACCCAGACCCTCAAAGCCAGAAGATCCTGAAACAACATATATAAAGCTCTAAAAGATAATGGATGCCAACCAAGACTCTTATATCCAGCAAAATTAAGCTTCAGATTTGATGATGAAATAAAAACCTTCCATGATAAACAAAAGCTAACAGAGTTTACAGCAAGAAAGCCTGTACTACAGAACATTCTCGGCAAAATATTCCACGAGAAGGAAATGAAAAAACAACAATGAAAATCTGCAAAGGGAAGAACTACAATAAAGGATAAGCCAACCAAATGAGAAACCAAGTCAAGCTAAAATACCAAAAAATAAACAAAAATTACCAGTAATACAAATCATGCCTCAATAATAACCCTGAATGTTAACCCTAAACTTACCAATCAAATGACATAGGCTGGTAGATTGGATTAAAAAAAAAAAA